ATAGAGCCAAATGTGCCCTGGGCTGCATCCAAAGCAGCATGGGCGGCAGGTCAAGGGAGGGGATTCTGCCCCTCTGCTCTGTCTTTGTGACACCCCACCTGAAGTGCTGCATATAACTCTGGGACCCACAACAAAAAAATGAGATGGACCTGCTGGAGTGAGTCCAGAGGAGGCCAAAAAGATGATGAGAGTGCAGGAGCACTTCTGCTGTGAAGACAGGTTGAGACAGCTGGGGTTGGTCAGCCTGGAGAAGATTCTGGGGAGCCCTTTGAGCACCTTCCAGGGTCTAAAGGGTTACGGGAGAGGGGCTTTTTACAAGGCATGTAGTGACAAGAAAAGGAGGAGTGGTTTTAAACTGAAAGAGTGCAGATTGACTTGAGATGTGAAGAAGAAATTCTTTACTGTGCGGGTGGCAAGGCCCTGGCACAATTGCCCAGAGAAGCTGTGGGCTGCCCCATCCCTGGACGTGTTCAAGGCCAGGTTGGATGGGACTTAGAGCAACCTGGTCTAGTGGTAGGTGTCCCTGTCCATGGCAGAGGGGCTAGAATGAGACTGTATGGTCCCTTCCAACCCAAACCATCCAATGACATTAGGAACAAAAGGGGGGAGAACAGCAGTTGTATAAGTACCATAAATACCAATTAATTAAACTGCTGTAGGCCTACATAACCAGCCATCTGCTGTTTCAATTCCAGGTTATATTCAAGGGCATTAAGTGACTACCAGTAAACAAAGAAAAGTAATTCCCTTGCAAAGTACCCATTTTATCCATTTTGTACATGTGTAAACAGATTTAAATTGCTGTTTGTGTGAAAGAAAGCCCAGAATAAAGAATCTTTGCTTGTTGGTACCAGTCTGCGAGCTGTATTGTTTTTGAACATGAACTGTCTTCTCCTCTCTCCTTCCCTGCTAAAGGATGATGTTGACCGTGCTTACTTTGCGGTATTTGATGGCCATGGTGGAGTGGATGCTGCCAATTACTCAGCAACCCATTTACATGTAAATGTTGGGTTACATGAAGAGATTGTTAAGAATCCAGCTGAGGCCTTGAAATGCTCTTTCCAGAAAACAGATGAAATGTTTCTTTTCAAAGCCAAAAGAGAGGTGAGTGGGTAGAGATTAATTCCATTGTATTTAAGTAACACTGAGAACTGTTGGACAACGTGGTATTACCCAGAAAATTCTGCCGGTACAGTTTCTTTGAATCACTAGCTTCTTTATGAAATTATGCTACATGTAAAGGTTTTCTTTGATCAACTTATTTCTTATTTTGAGGAAAATCAAAATGACAGTGCTTGAAAGTTCAAGATGAGTAATTGAAAAGAGGTGTTAAAGTGGTTTAAATGGTTCTGACATACCAATTATTTGAGAGAACACTGCTGCCTCTTTGCCTAAATTGGGGAGCCTCTAGATGTTCTATTTTTCTGCCTCTTATCTGGAAAAGATATTTTGCTCTTCCCTATAATATGGTCACTATCTTCCTCTTTCCTGTGCCACCATTAGTGTCACAGGTGATTGCAAGTGAAAAAAGAGTTCTATTATTTAAATCAGACTCTTCAGTTCATTAAACTTATTGATCAGCTTTGAATCAAGTTGGTATGATGAACATTCTTTGTTCAAATCTATGTAGTGGGAGGATGATTTATTACACAATTTGAGAACTCTTTTATTATGGCTATATGGAAGTATTCATGGTTAATCTGTCAGTTAGGTACAAAAGAGGGACCAGCATCTCCATGAGGTCTGAATCACTTATCTAGGACAGTTAGATTCTTTCCTTTGTTGACATTCTTATTTAAATACCCAAGGATAAAGGGATGTATGTGGAGCAAGGTGTCTGTAGTTTCTAGTGTTAGAGTGGAAGATGTGAAAGGGATTGGAGAGACCTGTGTGTGTTTGTGAAGTGTTCATAATACTGAAATTCAGATCCTCTTGCTTTTCTATATCTCTGTGTTTTAAGCAATAGAGCTCTTATTCTCCTAGATCAGTTTTGGAATTAATAGCAGAGAAGGAAGAACATAACAGAGGTCGTATTAACCACCTGCATGCTAGAAAATATGTTTATAAACAGTTTATTTCAACTTTGTCTACGATCTTGTACCTTTTTTTCATGTACCTGAATTAGGATTGGCAGGTCTACTCTGCTGCATTTAGTGTGATTAAACCTGAGTTTACACTATTGCCATATATCCTAGTAGGGCATGTTGAATGTTCACCAGACATCCCTGTTTCCTTCTGTAGAAGCTGCGGAGTGGCACAACAGGGGTATCTGCGTTGATTGTAGGGAACAAACTGCACATAGCGTGGCTGGGGGACTCACAGGTGATGCTGGTGCAGCAAGGAAAAGCTGTGACATTAATGGAACCTCACAAACCAGAAAGAGAAGTAAGTCTGACTGGTTAATTTTTTCTCCTAAGTGTGTGTTGTCAAGATCTCTCATGAAACCTTTTGGAATCAAGCCTTGTTAAGTGTTTGGTGCTTTAAATAATTACATATATTGTATGAGAGGATCTGGAGAATGAACAAATTTTTTTTGCATACACTCCTGTGTCTTGACAAGGTGATTCCTGCACCTTGGCTGCTTGAAAGTACTGATGGTACTGGTAGTCCTGACTTCAGTTCCTGCTCAGACTGTCTGTTCGAAATTTGTAGTAATTAAAGACTTTTACAGGATATTTGTGTGTGTGTGTGTGTGAATTTAAATTTGCCTATTTCAAAATAACTTACTATTTCGAGATTAATAGCTATTTAAAATGTTATCATAATGCAAGTCTTTCACAATATGCAGTACTGTCAATGAAAAGCTAACACTAATCTACTGACCTAACTGGCTTAAAGTGTATTGCATTTCCTATCTGTTTTAAATAGCCAGATATGTTATTACATGAAATTGGATGGGGGCCTTGCAAGTTTAGCTGGCATTGCAAGACCCTTTGCCTTCATTGCATAAATATTTGTAATAACTGAGTAGTTAAAGAAGTATCAAGGCAAATGCTATTGTTACTTTGCCTAGTTATCTTGTATTTCATTCCAAATATATTTACCCAATTGCTGTATGAGATGACAAGAAGTGTCAGGAAAGAGTACTCATCCATGTGGGAAAGATCATGACAATACAGAAACGTAAGAATTCTGCTTTTTTGTGGCCAGGCCATAGCGTGGTTGGGAAGAATTGGTTTGTTTCCAGTAACCCTATGTGCATGTTTCTGCAGTAGATTCTGCTGTGTGTGCTTACTGTGTTCACAGTAGAAATACAGAAGCTGAAACAGCATAAAAAATGTATTCCCCTGTTTTTCAGGATGAGAGAGCACGGATTGAGACTCTGGGTGGCTGTGTAACCTACATGGACTGCTGGCGGGTTAATGGTACCTTGGCTGTTTCCAGAGCAATTGGTAAGAAAAACCATAGGAATTAGTAAATGTCAGATTATATTTGATTGAAATACACCACCTGAGATTGCAAATGGTATTTTGCTCAGCATCAACCACATAATAAACGACTCTTACTGTCTTTCCCATAAGGCAAACTATAGGACTTACATGACCTGCAGATACATCATGGTATTGGTTTTACCGTGAGCACAGGATATTCTTTTATTTTACGTACTAGCCATGATAATCCTAATTTTTTTCTACTTCTAAGCTTTTTACTTCTTATAAATTCCTTTGATACTGTGGTGTTTTGTAGTAGTTTGACAAATGTGTAGCATTTAATTTGTAAAAGTGGATGAAGCAATATATGTTTATCTATTCTTCTTTATGTGCCCGAATATCTGCTTTTTGGGGAAGTTTGTCCACTTTCATGTGAATGTATCTTTCTCCTTGACTGTGGATCTTTCTCTTTCAAATCATACATATCCAGCAATTTAGAGTATTTTGATTTTAGTATTCCAGAATCTTTTTAAATAAGCTTACTTTGCTATTAACCGATTAGGACAAAAAAGAGAAAAAAACATGGGCAATACAGTAGATAACTGTAATGTATGAGTGGAAACAAATTAGTATAAATTTGCATTAATACTATTTGGGTTGGTAGCAACCCATATTTACTAAGTGTGTCCATATAAAACTGATGAACTAAACACAGATTCTGATGACATTGTGCTGTATATCTGTATAGCTAAGAAAAATCTTATTTTCATAGCATGCTGAAGGCTGTATAAGAGGCACACCTGCAAAATGAAGGCCTTGCCATCTCCTTGCACAAATATATTTCTGAGAGAAAAAACGTAGTAATAATTTCTTTAGTTTCCCTGCAAAATTAGGAAAGCATAAATTAAAGCAACCCACTGGATTTAGGTAGATTCCAAGTGTTCCAAGACAAAGGTCTTCCATGCTTATTCCATAGCTTTTGACTACTCTTATCCTGCATCAGGTACCTCTGGAATATGATCTGGCTGTCCTTGAGGACGGTAAAAGCAATTGGTGGGTGAAGAAGTGCCTGTTTACATTTGAAGTAATAAAGCCTTTGTTTTGATTGCTTGTCTCAGGTGACATATGCCAGAAGCCCTATATCTCTGGGGATGCAGATGGAGATTCCTTTGAGCTGACTGGTTCAGAAGATTACTTGCTCCTGGCCTGTGATGGATTCTTTGATGCCATCAAGCCCTATGAGGTTGTAGACTTGGTCCTGGAGCACTTAATGCAGACCAAAGGAGAGGGGCTCAAAGCAGCAGAAAGACTGGTGGCTGCTGCCAAGGAGAATGGATCCAGTGACAACATCACTGTTCTAGTGGTGTTCTTGAGGCATCCCCAGGACATCTTGGCAGACTGTCTCAGAGACACGAAGAGCCTTGGGGCTGATGATGATGCTCAGAGCTCACCCTTTCATTTCCTCGGCTGTAAGCCAGCAGCCACACAGTGACAGAGTCTGTTTAGTCCAGAATGCTCAGATAAATTCACATAAGGAACTACTTTCCACTGAAGAAGCCTCTAATACAGTAGGCAAAATGTATCAGGAAAAAATGACAAATGGACAAACATGGAACAGAAAGGCAAGACCCTTTTTACTATGTTCCCATTTGTCTTTTCCTTCCTTCCTTCCTCCTCCCTTCAAAAAACACTGAGCAGACGTGGAGGTTTGTACAGTTATTTCATCTCTGGGAGCAGACACTAAAGTGTGTCCCAGGGCTGCTGGTCATATCCCTCTACCTTGGAAGTGGTAAGAAACCATAATATGTATAAGCTAATGGGTAAGAATACCTGTTTATGAATTCTGAGTGAAAATTTAAATTAGTGCTTAGAAAGAACACTGTATGTTGTATTTAATTGTAATGTTACTTTGGAGGTTGGAGGGGAGAAGCTGTTCCCATCACAGAAAATTTCTTCCTGTGTGTGTTCTGTAGGAACACACTTGTGTGAGGCACTGGGTGACCAGAGTGCTGTGTAGGGTGCTTTTGGTTTGTACCAAAGATGATATTACAAGAATGGTGCAGCCTCTTTATTCAAACAGAAACATTTAATTTTGTGTGTATGGAGAGCAGAAAATGAAAACTGGATGCTCCAGAAAAAGAGCAGGAAAACTAACTAGAAAAATCCCAGGGAAAATGATAGAAAGTGAACTGCTTTCTGCGATGCTCTGGTTTAAAAACTGGAACCTGATATTTAACTGCAGTGGATTATTCTCCCTAACAAACGTGCTTTATTGGCTATTTGGCAACCTGAAAAGAAAGGACCCCTCAGGTTGTATTTGAGAGAGATCTTTACAGTATGTGTGCTCAAGCAGGTAAATGTGCCCTTCCTGCCACTATTTTGTGTACTATAACAAAGGAGAATTTTATTTTTATTGTAAGTGGCTTTTTAATTTTCTGAACTTTACAGTTGGAGGAATGTTTTGCAGTGTTACTTTATTTTGTTGTGGTTTTTATTTAAACCGGAATTTTAAAGTGGCTCTGTGTTTATTATCTGGTATAAAAAAACTGACTACCCTCAAGTGCCTTAAATATTTCACCCAAGGATTGCTGGCTGCCTATCACATGATAAGCTGGCTTTTACTGTTTTTAAAATGTGACCTTTTTATTTCAGTAATGCACTTAAATGTTTCAGTTTTGTGAATTATCGTAGTAGTAACTAGGTTTCAAGAAAACACGTCTTTCATTGTTGCCAAATGTTGTGGTTTGCAGTAAAAGCTTCACTTGAATTACTCCCTGCCCAGTGCAAAAAGCTGTAGTGAGTTAATCATAAAGTAACAATCTGAGTCACTATGCCTTTCATTTAAAAACAAGTAACTTCTGTCCTCCACAAGAAAATTCAGTAACACAAACTAGAAACAGTTTAGTAACAGTTTTTATTAATGCATACTTAATTTGGCCTTACTTCCTGAACCTTTGGGTCTAGATAACTTTCTAAGGAACTGTGAAGCTCAGAGGATGTAAGAGTCTTAATGAGTGTGGAAGGTGTTGCACAACTGTTCCATTCATTCCGTGCTAGAGCCTCTGGTTGTGTTTTGTCTTGCCTGGCTCACGGGACTCAGCAAGATCTGAAGGCTCAATGGTAAATTTGTTATTAATTTCAGTGTCTAAACAAAAAGTGCTTTGCATCTAGCAGCAAGATTGTAAGCCTAACTTAGAAGCACATGTTATTGCGACATGTCAGTCCTGTTGATTAAAATATGCTGAACATTAATGTTGCTTGGGGAGGAAATTTAGGTAGAAGGGATGGCTCAGGGGAAGAATGGAGCAGCATTGGTTGTGTCCCCAGTGTCTCTGGATCATTGACTGCTGTGGAGCAATGCAGTGACCCGAGTGAGCTGAGGTTTTTGCTGGAATGCTACAGATGATCCTGTGGTTTAATGTAGGAACTGCTCAGTGAGCTACTCTCTCGTGACACAGCAGCTGAGAGAGTGACTGCCTTGTTTTGCTGTGCAACAACGGGAGCTTTTCCTCTGAAAAGAATGTGAGCAGTTTTCCATCCTACGTTTTGGTGTCCTAAAATGTGTGGGGAAGGCTTTCTGTGATGGTAGCCTGAGAGGGTGGGTATCAGTTTTTGTAGTGAACCTACTTCAGTTGAGAAAACCCTTTGTAGTAATCCCTTTGGATTTATCGTCTCATCTCTCTTTGATTTCTAACCCAGATATTCAATGTCATGCTAAATTCTCATGACCACTAGTGCCTCTTGGTGTCTTGGAAATAGTTCTCAGTATTAATATGGTAAAAATCACACTGAATTGTTTGATTTCAGTGCTATCTGAGGTTTATCAGGAGAGGGGGAAGCTATTGTATTCATGAAGGGAGGTGTGAAGTGTTGGTAAGTTCATGGTATGGTTTAATAGTTTCTGACATTTGCCAGACTTCCTCAAAGGTGGAGGGGACTGAACAAGCCAAATTCTTTGTGGTGATCCTTTTATTTTGACCTTTTCTGGGCAGATTTGCATTACAGAGGAAACAAAGTCTTGAGCGAATGGATACTTACAGCTTTGTGAGAATATCCTTTGTTGTTTCAAATTTGATAATTTTTGTTTTATGGGAGCTAGGTGAAATGGGCCTTTAGAAAGCTGCCTGTAGCAATCAAAAAATCCAGTTCTCAAGCTGTGCCCTAGGGAAAAAATTCTACATTCTGTGAAGCTGTTCCCTTATATAAATGTATTCATTCTGAATGACTTAGTGCCTCATTTCTTTGAGATGTCTTTGGGTACTTACACAGATTGTAATGTGGATTAAAAGTATTTCATTTTCAGAGACTTCTTACTAACTTTAAAAAGTCTGGTCAGGTCTGCAGGTGTTGTAATGGGTCAAAAATCACATCAGTGGAATAAATAAGTCTTTAAGTGTCATTTACAGGAAAATCCCAAATGCAGTTTTGGGGGAAAATAGATTTTGGTGATGTCTTATCTATTCTTGACAGCCTGATCAAAACCTATGGAAACTTGTTGGGGGTTTTTTGTTTGTTTTGTTTTAAACTAAAAAAAAATTTCAATTTGATATTGAAAGTATGACACAGGATGCAAGTATGGATTTTGGAAGTGCACTTCTAAAATGATCATCAGGATGGTCTTATTCTTGGGATGGCAGTGATACAAGAAATCAATTTTGGTTTCATTTTTCATTTTGATATCACTTGTAGAAGCCACAGTCTCTAACGCACAATACTGTTACAAGGAAAACCACTAATATGGGTGGTGAGGAGAGAGGGGAAGGAGCTCTAGCAGAAGGTATGAAATTAAACTAAATAGTTCAAAATATGGAATGATGCTATATGTTGAATTTACAGTACTAATCTACTATGTTACCTTTTCTCTTAAAGCTTCTTGGATTTCTGGTCTTGACTGTTCTGTTTTTCTTCCCTCCTTTATTTAAAAATAAGATCTAATTTTGATGAGAGAATGCTCTGGCCTCTCTGGGCCTTCCCAGTGTCATCTACAATATATTAATAGTTGTCCACCAGTGTCAAATCAGCTAATGACAAATTGAGTAATCTGTGTGTTTTTCATGTTGTCTTTCTGATGGGCCTTCAACAAAAGCAGTTCTTGAGTGTAGCCAAAACCTTTGAGGCTGTAGACGTTAGCTGAAGGATTCAAGACAAACGTTCGATGAAAAATGAAAGTATTTTCATGTCTTACTAAGCTCAAAATGAACGTCTGCTGCTGCATTTTAGCACCCAGCATAAGAAAAATTGCTCTTCAAAGGAGCCTGCATTTGTAAAACCAAGCACAGTTAAATTCTTGTGTTGCTTGATTGGAAACTGGCTTTTGTCATTTTATTTAGTGGGTATTCAATATCTCTTTAGCTTATGGGTAAATCATACTTCTACCTTCCCTTCCTTGCCTTGTCTTCTCCTACAGATACACATACCTAAGGCAGTGAAATCTGGGTCTGACACAGACAAGATTAAAATTTTACAAATGACATTTGTTGGGGGGGTTCATTTTGGCTTTTTTTTTGCCCTCGAGATATGATAGAAATGCAGGCAAATTTTTAGAACAGAGATTAAGTAAAATCCACCCTCTGAGTGATGGAGGAGTGAAAGAGAGAGACAGGAATGCATTTAAGTATTATTAATGCCTATTTTAAAAAGGAAGTGGGCTGGAAAATGGAGCTACAAATGTCAGTTCTTTAAAGCGAAATACCAGTGCTTGAAAGAATTAGAAACACACCCATTAAAAAGGCAGAACTCAGCTGAGGCAACTCTGTCTTCAAACAGCCAAGGGAGGAATCACACTGAAAGTGTCCAAGGTGACTTACTGTGACCCCTCAGCACTGCCTTGGAAGCAAATGCTACTAAATGGATTTTTCCAAGCGTCCTCCCACGTAAAGTGGTGCTGAGAGGGAGCATCCAGGGTCTGCAGCTCCTGCTCACTGTGAGTGCTGCTGTGAGGAAACGCCCTGGGGTGTGTCCATGAGCTCTGGAGGATGAGGAATTGGGCACGGAGTGGTTACAGGAGAGTTGGCAGTTGAATAGTGTTAATCACACTGATGACTTTAATAGCATTTAATAGACACTTATCTGAATTCAGAGTCAGATGCAATACTGCTCTTTTAAAAACAATTTCCAATGCTACTAACTTTCTGTCATGAAGAGCCACTAAAATTTCCATTTTTCTGTTGGATGTTGGGAAAAGTGCTTCTCTTGCTTTCTCAGCTCTGGAGATAAGTTGGCTGTCTGCACTGGAAAACCCGTTTTCAGTTGGTAGCTTAAAGCAGCTGTTTGGGGTTGAGGATTCCCTCCCAGGCAATGCCTTAAAAGCTAACAAAAAGGTGTTTCCAAAATAGGTGGCTGAGGAACACGGGTATTTGTAAATGGTAACCAGCAAATACCCTCAACCTATATACGGCATAATCAGTGAAGTCTAAATTAATATTCCAGCTTCAGTCTTTGTGTAAGTTTGACTCTGTTGAGTAAATTACTCGTATTCTTGCAGATGCAGGCACTGAGTGCACAGTACCAGCCAGGGTCTATTCTAGTCTTATAGTATTGAAGTATCAAGCAAATGCTTTAGGGAGAAGGTGGGGGGATGTTAGCCACAACAGAGCAGATTGCAGATGATTCATGGATAATTTAGCTCTAGTTAAGCCTGAATTAAATTTCCCTGCTTAGTTCTATTACTGTCCCTTTTGCAATTCGACCTTCAGACAAAATCCTACTAGGAAGAAGTGGTCCATTCCCCTTTTCGAAGAGCAAACCTTCCTGATGAACAAAATGCCATCCAGGAAGGGCTGGAGAAGGAGAAAAATGAGCTTTTAAATGTGTGCAAACCTTCCCAACCTACATGAAGTCATGTATTCTCCCTAAACACAAGCTGATAACAGGTCCGGTTGCATTTGAATAGTGCTGAAAAGCAGTGGGGTTTCTGCCAAGCTCATCATAACCTTTCAGACAGCATCAAAACCAAGAGTTGGTCCTCTCCCTGTTACTAAACTGAGCCTCTAAACCAGCCAGCCCTGTGGAGTATTTGTTTTGCAGCACTGACAGCTCTGAACTAAGCCAGACACTTTCTGCATGTGTTTTGGTTGGTTTTAATATGTTTATTGGGGTTTATTTTATCTAAAGCTATTTTTATTGTTATCAGTCATGTCAGCTGAAAAGTAATCAAATGGAAACATAAAGGAGCGACTGGACCTCTGAACACCTGTCTGTCAGAGACACTTATTAAAATACTGCCTTAAAATGAGCTGGTAGGTTCTTGTGATAGATAACCTTATCTCTGCATGGAACAGGAAACCAAAATCTTACAGAGAATCACTTAAGCCTTTATTTTGGTGTGACCCCTCAGAGCCTGAACACTCACAAGCTGTTCAGTGTCCCTGGTTTAATGTGTTTTCCAAGCTGTTGCTGATGCACACAAAAATAAACAAGAGCCAGCTGTGTTGGCCACATAGAAAATTTAGTGAGATGCAGCTTTTGTTACAAAGAAGAGGACAAAATCAATAGGAAAAGAAATGTTTTCAGGCTTCTTGGAGTGCAAACAATGGAATAAAAAAAGCAGCCTTGAAGAATTGGCAGTGCACTGTCTACTGAAAACCACTGCTTTAAGCAAATGAATTTGGCTGCTTTGTAACATCTGCCTTATTTTGATAACAAACTCCTCTCAGTCAGAGTTTTATGTCTTATTGTGTGCTTTTAGTCTGAAGAGAGAAGATACATTCAGCTCCTTAGGCAGTTGAATATATCTGTGCTTTGTGACTAGTTAGATTATGATTATTGATTACTAATTGCCAGGGGACATTAATATATCAAGTACTGAACTTGTTAATGATTAAATGGTTCTGAATTTCCATGCACAGGAACTTCATTGGTCCTTCCTGATCTATCGGGTTGCTTCTCGAAGTTAATTATCATTTTTGAGGCAATACATTAGGCATGTGGAAGGTTTGTTGCTTTGACAAATGGAGCTGGAAGGTGTGACCATCATTCCCTCTAGGAACTATTTATCCTTTTATCTAAGCAATGATGGTTTTTTGGGATGTCCAAGGATAAAGAAATAATAGCTAGGGAACTAGACTGATCCTGTGGGGAGCTTCTCAGGGCAATAAAATGCTATGATTTCCTTTTTTTCATGCTGCCCTTTTGAACTTTGTTAAAAGGTATTCTGCTGAATATTGGATGATTAATGCTGCTTTTTTCCCCCCCTTTTTCTTTTTTTTTAATCTTTTTTTTCTTTCACCTTGTTTAATAATAGCAAGATATTTGTTTTATTGTGGGTTAAAAGTTTATACTGGCCTCTTTTTTGTCAGTATTAAGTTTTAACTCTAAGTACTTTTAATTTAATGACTTCAACTACTTTCAACTTCCTCTTCTGAAAGTCTGTTTCTGCTCTGTCTCCTCCTTATTCTCTTCCCAATTTTCTCTCTTCTATCTTTTATGTCCTTTGTCATACCCCAGACCCTCTCACAACCATGGTGCTTCTTAGACTGTAAACTCTGTTAGCTGTTAAGTTAGTTTAGTTGCCATTTTATAATTTTAATTTCATCTGTGTCCATAGGGAACGTGGTCCGATTTTTGGAGGCCTGCAACACCAACCAGAGTGTAAACAGTGCTATGTCAGCTAGGAAGATAAGAGACTACAATAGCTGTTGTGTCTTTGGCATGGACCAGTACTGGATGTCTAAAAAGAAAATTCTGTTATTTGCATGTTATTCCATAGGAATACTTAAGCTTATTTCAGGTAACAGTAGCTCTCATCCTGATTACAGGACCAGAAACATTCTTGTCTCTGTATTTCCTTGTTCCTGCAGATTGTTTTCAAACATTTGCACTGTTTAGAGTGGGGGAAAAGCTTTCTGACTTCCTTCACCTCCTCAGCTCTCTCTCTCTCACCCCAGCTGGCCAAGCAGACAGGCTGGTAACAGAGCAGTCCCACGGCTCGTCGGCCCTTCGGTCGGTGTCATTCTCCAGGGTCTGCTCTGTAAGGTAATGTCAGTCCTGTGCTTACGTAGTGGTAAGTTAGACCTCTGTGGCTACTGCTGCTGACTTAAAAATATATGTTCTTATCAGTATTAAAATAGTACAAAAGCAGAGCTGTTGCTTTAGGCACATTTCTTGCCACTGTGTTGGTTAATGAACCTTGAATGAAAGTAAGAGGGCCAGGGGCTCTGAAATAGGAGCTGTTAGCCAAGTGTTGTAGAATCATAGTCCTTATTTATTTTGTATGCTAATCTGCACTTGTGACCCTGAGCAGAAAAGCTGCAGTACAGCAGGTTTTATAAGCTGTGGCTTAACCAGTTATCTAGTCTCTTAAAACTTATTTGAACTGACTGGTTTTATGCACAGACCAGAACCCTGTTGCCACTGATCATTAAATGCTATGCATATTGTACTTTCATTTACGTGGATTGTTCTAATAGTGCTTGTGTGTATTATGCTACATTGCCGTATTTTTTTATATATGTATGTATTGCATGAGGTTTAATTGGGATTTTTTGTATTGTCACTTTTGTATTCACACAGTGCCTCATGTATCTATTTGCATATTGCAAGAAATTGTTTCAAAGCAGTGATTGGAAACAGGTGGGGATAATAACTCACCACTGTAGGATCTGATGTTTCTGAAGTATTAATAAAAGTACAGTGATTCAAAGCACTGTTTGTTTCTTTCCTTAAATATGTTTTTCATTTTAATACTTCAAATAGCTGGATCCACAATGGTCATGTTGCACATCTTTGAGTGGTTACCATCACCACATCTTACCTTCTTCCATAGGGCTTTTCTGGGAAAAGAAACCAGTGGAAGCACTACAAGGAAACAATCCTTGGAATCACACAGCGTGCTTGCTTAAAAAGATGAATGTCACTAAAACTATCTTGTATTGTTTACCTCCAATTCATGGATTTGATCTGTTTTCCTTTTTTCCTTTTACCAGCTGGCCACAGTAACACAGCAGGTTAAATTGAGCATACCATATATATGTCTTACAGTAATGGGATAATGATCCAAAAGACCCTGTTGCAACAGAGATTATGACAGTTTTTGTTTACTTGCATACTCGTTAAGGAAGTGGTCTTTAACTGCTGAAGTGGAAGGATGAAGAATGAATTCTTAAACTGTTAGGGCTGATTTACTACAGAACATAGAGGAAGTTCTAAGAAGGATGGTAACTATCAAAATATAAGTATGACTTGGAAGCTAAGCTAATGTGGGATTGTTTCTGAAGTGCAGATGTTCAAGTCCTCAGGAAGACATGTCAGGAAGAGCAGGACAGAGGTGGGAGACTTGACAGAAGTCAAGACTCTGTTTAACAGTCTTAGGGATCTGAGAGATGCAGTCTTTCATGCAGTTTGTCTAAATGCTTATGTATTTATTCCAGTGAAGAAGAAAATAAAAGTGTACTAAGAACCCAGGAGACAGCATCGGAGGGAAGCAGATATAGTATTTCTTGAAATTCAAAAGTAAGTATAGCCATAATGAGTCATCAGGTAGATTCTGGTCAAGATGCTGTGGGCATGCTTGATCCTACTTCAGATCAAATGCCAAATCTCTTGAAAATATCTTTCATTTCATGGTTCTAAATGTTTTGTGGGTTTGTTGTTATTTTTTTTTAACAGTAAGAATTTCAGGGGTGAAAATTCACTTGTAATAATCTGTAGAAAAGCAGCAAATTCTCAGAGAAGTGTAGGGTGGGGATTTGCTTGACTGAGTTTAGCGGCATTTTCCCAGCCTGTGATTCACTGAGCTCACCAGGGAGCATAAGCAACAGCTGCCTGCCACTGTTCTTTTGTGGTTTTGTAAGGCAGCAATGGGAATCCATCATTCAGGTAACTCCACAGTCCAAAGGCAGCTGCAGCTGATTTTTGCCAATGACAATGCAGAGCTGAACAAAGTCACTCCCCTGTCTCATAGGCATCCCTGGCACTTCCTAACAAAGCATGCTGCCTTTCCACACCTTTGAGCCCACTCCAGATGAGTTGAGAACAGGGCTGGACATCACTGTTGTTTCTCCTTTCTAGTACCCAACATTGGCTTTACTGTCTCCTTTTGAATAGTAGGAGGTGAAATCCAGATGTTGGCCATTCTTGGCTGTGCTGTCTTACTCTGTTTTCTTTCTCATCTAGCAGATCTCCAACAGCCCATGTGTTCAACATGGGGCTCAGAGCCAAACTTCTGCTCCTGTTCCCAGTCATTGCAGGTTCTGTTGCTGGTGGGTTCGAGCAAGAAGCAAATCAATAAGCCTATGGAAGGAATGTAAAACTTTGATTTAAAGCTACATGAAGCTAAACTTAGGTGTCATTGATGGGGTTCATGGCACAAAAACATTATCCACCTCGATTGTTTGAGCAAGGAATAACAAATCTTCATGTCCTGTTTAACTACTCTGATTGGATATGTTTCTTTGTGGAAAATGTGCTGTAAAATCTGTAGCCACTCGTTTCCTAGACTGTAGGAAATACTGAAATAACAGTGGTGACGAGGCAGATGTTTCTATTTCAGCCTGAATTAGTGACTGTGGCAGCACAAATGAGGGCTATTTAATTCTTCTAGAGCTGCTCGGTTTACCTTGACCAGTATTTGCTGATTTCATCCACATTCTCTACAAACTTTACAGGGGAGAGGGTTGCTATGCAGAAATAAATTCATTAGCTTGTCATGGTTTGATCCCAGCTGGCAACTACATACTGTGCAGCTGCTCCCTCTCTCCTCCCTGCCCAACCCCCAGGCAGGAGGAGAATGGGGGGAAAAATTTAAAACTTGTGGGTTGGGATAAGAACAGTTTAATAATTGAAACAAAAGGAAAGATAATAAAAATTGTAATCATAATAATTAGAATAATTTTAATTAAAAGTTGAGAGAGAGAGGAGCATAACCCAAGTGAAAGAAGTGATGCACAACACAGTTGCTCAGCACCCACTGACTGATGCCCAGCCTGTCTCTGGGCAGGGATCCACCCCTCCTGGCCAGCTCTCCCCAGTTTATACACTGGAAATTATGTTCTGTGCTATGGAATAGCCCTTTGGCCAGTTTGGATCAGCTGTCCTGGCCATGCTCCCTCCCAGCTTCTTGTGCACTTCCTCACTGGCAGAGCCTGGGAGACCGATTTAGAGTAAGCACTGCTTAGCAACAACTGTAACATCAGTGTGTTATCAACAGTATTTTCACACTGAATCCAAAACACACAGCACCATACCAGCTTCTACAAAAAGAATTAAGTCTTCCTGCTGAAACCAGGGCACAGCCTGGAAATGCCTGTCCTTTCCACCTGGGAAATGGAGTGAGCAAAAGTGCTTCTTCAGGGACTAGGAGAACTTTTAGAAATATGGACTCTCCTCTAGTAATGCAGACTTCACGTGTCTCTGGTCTTTGGTGAGGGCCAGTTAAAACACTTTCTGCATCTAGATCAGGTTTGCTATTCAGGTAGCACTAATGTAGATTACAGGCTTTCATTTTACTGTCTCAATTTTATTTTTTTTTTAAAGAAATCAAGCATAACCTTGAGTATGTAATGCAGAAAGCTGCTTGTAAGTGACTATAATGGGTATTTACCTGTTTCACCAAACTGATAATGCAGTTTTGTGCACATAACTGTTCGTGTGTCTTACAGTCAATATCCCTTATATTAAAAAAAAAAACAAACACAAACAAACTTGGATTTTTTTCCAAAGTGTTAAGCTGTTCTTGCACTTTTCTGGTTTGGATATCTAACAAAATCTGTTACCTGTTGCACTACAGTAAATTCTTAATATCTTGTTAGATGCTTTTTGATACTTGTGTTTTGATTTGTTGGGGTTTTATTTTACTGGAGTCAAAATGTTTTGAAGTTTGGGTTTGCCAGTTCTCATGTTGTTATGTTGAGCTATTTGGAAAGAATCTTAAGTTCTCATTAGAATGAGAAAATATTTAAATGTTTAAATGCTGCAGCTGTTATTTAGCCTTCAAACAGAAGTAGCTTTTGGAGAGAACTATTTTGAACATGCCTTGACAAGGATAAACCTGCTCATTTTATACAAGAGTTCACTGTATGCTTGAGGCATACAGTAAGGCAAAAGCAAGTCTTTTGCATAGCCTAAAAGAAAAAATTCTAGCTATGTTGTGCTGAGCCAGAGCAGCTCCAGCACTTGAGTCTGGTGATGTTCTGTTTTCCCTGGAAAAGGCTTCATGAGCGATAGAAAAGAGACTTCCCACATCATATTCCAAGCTGTGGAGTAGGCACTTCCAGGAAAAGCCTGTGACTTCCTTGTACCCGGCCTGATTTTCTGCGTAGACCTTCTGTTCCTGAGCCCTTGCACATACCAGGACGCTGCTTCTGTCTCAAGGTAAGGCAGGAGGGGCACGGCATGGAAAAGGCAAATGGTTTTGCAGGTGCTGAATGTTCCTCCGGGGCTCCGTGTGCCACCCCTAGAGGGCTCCCGCCTTCCTTTGGCCAGAGGAGAGAACCAAAAAGCGGTGGGAAAGGGTGCGGGATTTTGGCCATGGCCACAGACTCCACGGAAGAGCCCTCTGCATATTGTGTCATTCCCTTAATATTTTCATCTCACGGGCGGGCACTGGAAAGCTGAGTGGAAAACGTTTCTTTGCATAATATAATCCTTCCTTCCACATGTCTTTTAAGAAGTGTTTCTGGCACTAATTCTGTGATTTGATTTTTACTGGTTTTACTGGTTAAAATCCAAGTAGCTGGTTCAGGCTGGGGCCCAACTGCTCAATATCAGATCTCTGATAATGGACAGCAGCAGTAATTTGGGGAGAGTGCAAAAAGCCTTTTAAATGGGAGGCAAGAAATAAATCATTCATGTAAAGAGTGAGACTAAACAAGTATAGGTTAGAATAATATTCTTTTTTTGCATCTCTTAGTTGAGATTAAAAAAACTCTGAAGCCTTGTTTCTCTTTATATAAGACATAAAAGGTACTTCTCCGTGTGTTTTTCGGGCTACAAGAGATACCGTTCTTTCAGTTGACAGCCCAGTTCGTTTATGAAACCAAGTTCTGGTGGCAGTGTGGGGAAAGGACAAAAAAGTTAAACAATGGATAAGAAGACACTTCAGGCTTTCTGTATAATTAATTATAGTCATTTAAAATCTTGAGCAAAGTCTGTGTTTGGAGAAGTTCGAAGTTATAATTAAGCCAAGCTGGTAACGATGGATCTAATTGTTGGGTTACAGATGGGTGCAGGTAATGCGAGTTGGGCCACTGACATCAGATATTTCACTCAATTGTTTTCTACTGATGCAGCTAATTCCATACAACTGTCCCAGCAGCTGGAATGACCAGCATGAGTTGAAGTGTGGATGAATGTCAAGAGTTTTCCCTGACAGACTTAACTGGCTGAAGGTCGTTGGTCTTTAAAGGTACCGTGTCCTTGGTGCTGGCTCTCAAAAGACTCCCTGGAGCTGTTCCAGCCCAGCTCCTGTTGAACCCCTGCTATGAAGGACTTGAGATGGGAGAATGAATCAGGACTGAAATGGCTCTGCCAATTCCTCTTTTCTATCGTATCAGTCACCTGAAGCCTCATAACTTTCAGAAGAACTGAAATGTTGCTGTTGAGACAAAGGTCAAATTCAACAGTGCCGGGGGGCTTTGGTGTTGCACTGGTAAGTCTGCTTTTAAAAACAGAGTAATTCTGCCCTTCTCTCTGTCCCACTCTCCA